ATACCTTTTTTTTTTAATTTGTCTTTTAAATACAGGGTCTCCCTGTAGCCCCAGCTGGCCTGGAACTCCATTAAGTCGACCAGGCTGGCCTTGAACCTCACAGAGATCTGAGTGCTGGGATTAAAGGTGTGTACCACCATGCCTGGCTTAGGTTATACCCTTTTTATCCAATCATGTTTGTCTACAACTGTGAACTTCTTCATCAAACAGAGTAAAATGCACAGGTCTTCATCTTACTTTAGGTCTTCATTTCAGAAGGTTTTGATGTCATAATACAACTTATATGAAACAAATCTATATCCTTCCCTATCTTTGTATGCCAGATGTGGTAGCTGATGCCTATGTTTGAAGCACCCATACACATAAAGTAAAAATAAATAAATCTTAAAGCCAAACGAAAGAAGAACTATGTCTTCCAGATTTTCTTTGATGGAGTATGCATGGTTTGATTTATTTTTTTCTGGCTTTCTCTCTTGTCCTAGGAACTGTGGATCATAATATGGAAAGGCATCGATTGATGTGACAGTCAACTGTTTGACTGTAGGTCACTCCAAACCCTAAAAGAATGAGGAATAATTCTGTGGATTGATATTCATACAAGAATCCTTACTTTCCTTCAGAAAATTGATCCATAGTGGTGTAGGAGCTCAGGTTTATAATTCTGCCTGCCTCTGCCTCTGCCTCCCGAGTGCTGGGATTAAAGGCATGCGCCACCATCCCTGGCTTCTAAATGATTTTTTAAAAAGAACAAAGAGGGGCTAGAGAAATGGCTCAGTGCAGAAGACCTTGGTTCATCTCCTAGTACCCTCAAGGTGGCTAAAAACCATCTGTAACTCCAGTTCCAGGGGAATCCAACACTCTCTTCTGGCCTCTGAGGGCATTGCACAACACAGGTGCACTGATATGCATGCAGGTAGTACACTCAAATACATATCAAAATAAAAATAATATAATTTTTAAAATTTTATGTTTGAGTGTATTGCCTGCATGTATGTCAGTGCACCCATGTCGTGCAATGCCACGGAGGTCAGAAGAGGGCTTCGGCTTCCCCTGGAACTGGAGTTAAGGATGGTTCATAGCCGCCATGTGGGTGCTGGGAATCGAACCCAGGTCCTCTGCAAGAGCAGTCAGTGCTCTTAACCGCTGAGCCATCTCTCCAGTCCCCCATAAAATATTTTTTTTAAAAAGAAGATAGCTGGGCATGGTGGTGCACACCTTTGATCCCAGCACTTGGGAGGCAGAGACAGGTGGATCTCTGTGAGTTCAAGGCCAGCCTGGTCTACACAGCAAGTTCCAGGCCAGCTGGGACTACAGGGAGACCCTGTCTCAAAAAGACCAGAAAAAAAAAAAAAGAAGAAGAGGAGGAGGAAGAAAAGAAAAAGCCTGGTGTAAAAGCACATCCCTTTAATCCCAGCACTTGAGAGGAAGAGGCAGACAGATCTGTGAGGCCAGCCCGGTCTATTTTAGGCCAGCTGGTGCTAAAGGGAGACTGTGTCTCAAAAAAATTTAAAAGAAGAATAAAAAAAAAGGCAAGAAAAGAAGAAAAGCAAAGAGGGACTGGAGAGATGGCTCAGTGGTTAAGAGCACTTACTGATATTGTAGAGGACCCAGATTTGGATCCCAGCACCAATGTCAGGTGGCTCACAACTACCCATAACTCCAGTTTCAAGGGCTCTGACACCCTCTTCTGGCCTCCAGAGGCACCCATACAAAGTAGTGCACAGAAACATACACAGATACCACAATACACATAAATAATAAAAACCTTGACAAACATTTTAGGTAAGTGTGGTGGTGCATGCATTTAGTCCTAGCACTTGGGAAGCAGAGGCAGGCAGATCTCTGTGAGATCAAGGCCAGCTTGGTCTACATAGCTAGTTCCAGGCGAGCTGGGGCTACAGGAAGACCCTGTCTCAAAAAGAAAAAAACAAACAAACAAACAAAACAAAACAAAACAAAACAACAAAAAAAAACCGAAATGGGCTGGAGAGATGGCTCAGCAGTTAAGAGCACTGGCTGCTCTTGCAGAGGACTTGGGTTTGACTCCCAACACCCACATGGTGGTTAACAACTATTCATAACTTCATTTCTAACACCCTCTTCTGACCTCCGAGGACATTGCACGACATGAGTGCACTAACATGCATGCAGGTAATATACTCCTGCACACAAAATAAAAAATAATAAAATATTTTTTAAAAACCCAAAACAGTTTTTTTCTCACTTTCCTTTGCCTGCTGACCAAGGACATTGCCTCTCCTTAGCAAGCAGGATTTGGTAGCATAGGTATTTCTATATTTGTTTCTTCTCTCTTTTGTATTCTCTACTTTTATTTCACTGAGATCCAAGGGGATATTGGAAGCCAAAAAAGGTCTCACTGTGTAGCCCTGGCTGGCCTGGAATTCATTATGTAAACAGGCTAGCCTCAAACTCACAGACATCTGCCTGCCTATGCCTTCCAAGTACTGGGATTAAAGGTGTGCACCACCATGCCAGGCCTGTCTTCTTTCTAATTTTCATTCACAGCCCCCACTCAGTTTGACAGAGGCTTACAGCAAGAGGTCATTTGTCAAAATCAACGGAAATCTCAGAACTATTTACTGAATATATCAAAATAACATTTCAAGCACAGGGATTCCATATTTATCTCAAGGTCTAGATTTAAGAGTTTCAGATCTGTAAGAGCAGGTCAACTGAAGAAGTAGACCAAAGTTACTTTTTAAAAATATATTTTATTTATTTTAATTTTATGTGTATGAGTGTATTGTCTGCATGTATGTAAATGCATCTACATCATTCAATGCCTGTGGAGGTCAGAAGAGGGCATCGGATCCCCTGGAACTGGATTTATGACTGTTAGCTGCCATGTGGGTGCTGGGAATCGAACCCAGGTCCTCTGGAAGAGCAACCAGTGCTCTTAACCACTGAGCCATCTCTCCAGCTCCTGAGACCAAGTTACTTTACGACAGCAGAATCATTGTTTTTGTGAGGGTCAGGCTTTTCCTGAGGCACTGTCTAGGAACCTGAAGGAAAGGGTTTATCATAGGTTAAAACTCTCATGGCTGAAAAAAATCCAGACCTTCCTCAGCCCTAGGCTTGATGATGCTCAAGTCATCTTTTCTTGAGGCTGTTTTCTAGTGTTCAGTGCTTTCACCAGTCTAGAAAACAACCTCAGGGACCAACTAGCATCTAAGGCCTTCTTTCCTGGGCTTCTAATTCTTGCCTAATAATAGCAGAAAACCTTTTTTAAGGACTGAGGTGTAGCTTAGTGACAGAGCTCTTGCTTAGCATTCACAAGGCCTTGGGTTCCATCTCCCTGTCAATAAATAAATAAATAAATAAATACCCCTTTCTAAACAGAAATTATCTTATTTTTAAAAAATATTTTATTTATTATTTTATGTGTGTGAGTATACTGCCTGCATGTATGTGAGTGCACCCAGGTCGTACAATGCCTCAGAGGTCAGAAGAGGGCTTCAAATTCCCCTGGAACTGGAGTTAAGGATGGTTCATATCTGCCATGTGGGTGCTGGGAATCAAACCTGGGTCCTCTGCAAGAGCAGTCAGTGCTCTTAACCGCTAAGCCATCTCTCCAGCCCCAAGAAATTAGTTTTGATTGTCAGTGTGGGTACCTGCATGCCATTAGACACATTAGGAGTTGTTTTTCACCTTCAGCCTTGTTTCTACCATTGGGCATATGCCAGGTTAGTGAGCCCTTGGACTTGCAGCTAATTTTTCTTCTCTCCACCTCTCATTTTGCTGTAGGAGTGCTGAGCTTGCAGAGACACCCCACCACATCCAGCTTTTTATATGGCTTCTAGGGGGCAGACTCAGGTCTTTGGGCTTGTGTGGCAAGTGTTTTTACTTGCTGAGCCATCTCCCTGGCCTCTAAACACACTCTTTTTTAAAAATTTATTATTTTATTTTATGTATATGAGTGGTTTGTCTGCATGTGTGTAAAGTGAACCCATGTCATGCAATGCCCATGGAAGTCAGAAGAGGACTTCAGATTTCTTAGAACTGGAGTTACAGGTGGTTGTTAGCCACCATGTGGGTGCTGGGAATAGAACTGGGCCCTTTGCAAGAGCAGCCAGTGCTCTTAACAACTGAACTATTTCTCCAGCCCCTAATACAATTCTTAGATTGCAGGGATTCTAGAGCCTGGGGCTCTGTCCCTGGCCTCCATGTGGGATTGGATCTCAGGGTATTCTACTGGGTGCTTGATGGACATTATTGTTGTTAAAAAGCCTTTAGAGGCTTGGAGAGTATTTCATTTGCAGAGCCTCTGCCTAGCATGCAGGAAGCCCTAAATTGAACCTCACCACTCACTGTGTGATAAAAAGAAAAATTATATTTATAATATTCTGCAGTGTAGTTGGAGAAACAGACAATGTTAAAATAGCCAAATATATCATTACAAGTTGTCATCTCTAAGAAAGGGGAGGGCTCACTTCAGCAGCACACATACTAAAATTGGAATGATACTATAAATGTGAGAAAGTGGACATTACAAGTAAACCTTTAAGAGCCTTGAGTTATTCAAAACTGTTTCACCATAAGAAGGGTTCAGTTTTTGCCAAATTCATTTACACGGGGTAGCTGAGCTTTGCTGTTCACAAGCTCCATTACCCGCTGCAACAGCGCTGGCGCTGGGGTTTCCACCGAAGCACCAGGTGGGCACACGCCTCCCGGGTAGCAGCACTCCAGTCTTGCCCTCTGTAGCCGCAGGACTTAAACTACCCACTGCTTTACTCAACGAAGTGAAGACAGGACCCAAGTTAATGGTTGTCCGCAGGCTCTTTTCCAATTACTTCCTGGAAAGTACTGTCTCAGTGTCTTTGATAAAATCCAAATGGGACTAAAAGCAGCAGAGGAGGACCGTGCCTTGGCTCGCACCGTGCTGCGGAGGGAACAGCATCTGCAGTCGCATCTAGCCTAGTGCTGGGCTCCAGGGGCGGGAGCTGGGAGGGCAGGGCTGGCCCTGTAAGGAGCTCCAGGGCCCCGGCCCCCATCCCTGCCGCGCAGGCCTGGGTGGACCTCTGTCCACTTCTGCTTTCGCTGGCTCTCGGCGGCTTCGGCCTGGAGTGCCACCTCGGTTCCCGCGCCGCCAGCGGTGCACAAGCCCTGATGCCGGGCGCACGCCTGCTCGCTGCACCGCACTCCAGGGAGGCTGGAGTTTAATCACACAAACAGTGTCCGGCTTCCTGTCCTCGTCCGCCCCCCTCCCACCCGTTTCCCTGGCCCCTCCCTCTCCTCGGCCCGATCCTCCCACCCGCTCCCCCTCCCCCGATCCCTCGGGTCCCGGGATGGGGGGGCGGTGAGGCAGGCACAGCCCCCCGCCCCCATGGCCGCCCGTCGGAGCCAGCGGCGGAGGGGGCGCCGGGGGGAGCCGGGCACCGCCCTGTTGGTCCCGCTTGTGCTGAGCCTGGGCCTGGCGCTGGCCTGCCTTGGCCTCCTGCTGGCCGTAGTCAGCCTGGGGAGCCGGGCATCGCTGTCTGCCCAGGTGAGGCCCTCAGCACACCCCTTCCTGGGTACTTTAGGAGCAGAAAGTGCAGAGGAGCAAATGGGGGCCCGGTGGGCAGAGGGCCAGGGGATCAGAGGATGGGTGGAGGGTACGATGTCAGGTGAAGAAGGACGGGGTGACGCTGCCTCCTTCCCAGCAGGAGCTTTCCCAGGGGGAGCTGGCAGCAGAGGACGACCAGGAGCCCCTGGTGAGTCGGTGTGGACGCTGTGTGCAGGATGCCAGCATGGTAAAGTGTGCCTGAGCTGAGGCTGTGCAGGATGTACCCTGGCTGTGACAGCTGTGTGTGAGGTGTGTGCATTCCACTGTGTGTGCATGAAGACTTGCATGCACTGGTTTATGTCTCTGAGCAAGGGTGGGTGGTGCACCAGCACATGTGGGTATGTCCGTGTGAGAGGGTAGCCTGGGTGTAAGGAATTTGTGGTGGTGTGTCACCTGAGTGGGAAGTGCTGATTGGCTGTGGATGAGATGGGACTGAGCTAGCTGAGCCTGCCACTAGTGACAGTTGCTGTTGTGTGCAGGATGTGTACCACCTGTGCATGCTCGTGTGTGTGTGTGTGTGTGTGTGTGTGTGTGTGTGTGTACAGTGTTGCCGGTGGGGTGCAGGATATGTGCTGACTGGGGATGGGGACATTAAAGTTTGGTTTCCCAAAAGGAGTGAGGACCTAGCTTGACCCCCAGGTTTGACCAATCCCTAGGATTTGTATCTCTTGCTGGCTGGTGGCTCTTCAGACAGACCCTGTGGGTTGTTTGTCTCCGGAAGGCCCTGTCTGAGCTCTGTCCTTAATTCTCCTAGGAATCTAATCCCCAGACAGAGGAAAGCCAGGATGTGGTGCCTTTCTTGGGCCGACTGGTACGGTCTCGCAGAAATGGTGAGTGTCCCTCCATCCCAGCCTCATGAATGACAAAATTGCCCAGTCTGTGGTGTCTTCTGGGCTCCTTACTGCCTTTGTTCATCATAACAGTCTATGAAATGGGGGGGGGACCCACTGTTTTCAGAGAGAAATTGAGACAGGGAGTATGAAGGAGTTTCAGAGTCAAGTAGCTAATCAGTTGAGACTGGAATCCAGGAATTTTAACTCTACCTTCTGAAGGTCCTTTTGTCACTTGGACCTACTACCCCAAGTAGCCAGGAGTTAAAAGGATTCCTGGAGTCCTCAAAAGGTAGGGACACCTTGGTCTCAGTAAGCAAAGACTCCTATGAATCCATGGTCACATAACCATATATTCAGGTTTGGATGGGTGGGACTGGCCTGGCCTGTACCTGTACCTGCTATCTCAGCGGTGTGTGGTGTGTGAAAGGGTGAGTAGGGGGGGGTTGGGGGGGTGGGGGGTTGGGGTGGGTTGTGGTGTGTGTGTGTGTGTGTGTGTGTGTGTGTGTGTGTGTATCTGTGTGGTATTGAAGTTGGAATCCAGAGCCTTGTGCATGCTAGGCAAGCACTCTACCACTGAGCTGCACCCCTAGCCCAGTATGATTATTAATAGCTCTCTTTTTGCTCTCAGAAGTATTCTAATTTGGATGATAAATTATGTTGTCTCTCTACTTATGGAGGAAGATGAGGCTGGAGGTACTACAGCCCAGGAGTCTGGATAAGATTAAGGCTTCCAGGATCCTGAGAGGGAGAGGGGCTGGCAGCTGGCTCGTGGGTCCCCAGAGGGGTCTGCTCTGCTTATCTGTCTGCTTTATTCTTAGCCCCTAAAGGCCGGAAAACACGGGCTCGCAAAGCAATTGCAGCCCATTATGAAGGTGGGTGATGGGTGACCGTGCCAGGGAGGGGGGCCAGAGGGGCAGGGCAAGTCTCACCAACCATTCCCTATGTCTTACAGTTCATCCACGGCCAGGACAGGATGGAGCGCAGGCAGGTGAGATCCCATCCCCTGACTACTTGTAGCAGTGGCCTCCTAGGAAGAGTCCCCCAAACCTTTGATTTTTCAGCTCCACTCCTTGCACCCAGTCTAGGAACCTCAGTTCATGAAAAGTTATCTATGTGACCCTCATATAGGACTCCAGGAAGACCCCTGTTCTCCCAAGAACCCAGGCCAGCCCATCCCCAAACCAGTGGACCCAACTTTCTTCTTCAGCCATCCGTCTTTTCCAGGAAGCACTTGATTCTTGCAGTTTTTTTTTTTTCTGTATTCCATGGTTTTTCTTGCAGTGATGGTTGTTCCTCCAAATGTTTCTAGTCTCTGCCCATCTTTTCCACACCCCACCCCACACACCTCAGCTCTCAGAAACAACTCTGGCCCCTTCTCCATTCTTCAGTCTTCTCACCACTCTGTTCGCTAGGTGTACTGTTCTCTATCCCAGTGCGTCTCTAGTCTGTCTGTGCCATGGCTTTGACCTTACTTCTGGTACTTGCTTGTGAGGCTGACACTCTTGTGCCTCTTCCAGACTTTGCACATGCTATTCTCTCTCACCGTGGATAATTAACTTTGAGATGTCTAATACTGAACAAATGGATAAAAGGGTCACTCCCAAGAGGGTCACTGGGCTAGTCCAGGCAAGGTAACGGCATGGTTATGTGGATGCTATTTAAAGCTACAGGGTAAGATGAAACACCAGGGGAGAGAAAGGCCCCAAGAATGAAGGCTGGGGAAGAAGGGGAAGCCAGCTGAGGAGATGGAGATGCAGCCAGAAGAGAGGAAGAACCCCAGGAAGGGTGGTGTCCTGGGATCTAAGAGATGACGCTGTTTCAGGCAAGAGGATGTGGCTGTCTGTGTGGAAGCAGCTGAGAGGTCACATGAGATGAAGACAGAGATGTGACTGCTGGGTTTGGTAATACAGCCATCAACTGATGATGGGTAGCTTCAGGGGTTGCGGTTAGGATGGAAGCTTGGCATGAACTGAGGGGAGAAAATGAGAAAAAAGGAACAGGAGGCAGGGACAGGGAGCAGAGACATGTGTCAGTGAGTAGAGAGGGATGTCAGCTGAGGAAAACTTCAGTCCTTTTAGCAAAATGACATTCATCTTTGCTAACTGTTAGTATTTTTTGGGGTAGGCACTAGGACTAGGACTTATGTGTTTGAAATTATCTAATCCCCACAACTGCCCTATCAAGAAGATATTTTGGTTACTTCTATCTAATAGACAAAGGTTACTAAGCTTGCCCATGGTCATGGGTGGAGGCAGGAGTCAAAGCCAGCAAGGGCATGTTTGGGCAGAGTGTATATGAGAGACACATTTATTGGGGAAGGGAAGAGGCTATCCATGGGCCAATGTCCATGAAGGTAGAAGGAATCTTTCCAAAAGGAAGAGAGGACACATATCCTATCATGAAGAAGCCAAAGGAGCTCATGAAAAGAGGTGTGTTTGTAGATTTGGTTGGGGAGGGAAGGAGATGAGGAAACCCTAGCCTAAGGATGTCTAGGTGCCCTGGAGAACTAGGGAGACAGGAACAGAAGGTCTAAGGACAGATGGCATGAAATGCAACTTGGTAGGGGCAACTGCCAGGCAACATGGGATGTCCTTTGGAAGCTGGTGGTGGTAAAATGAGTAATCTCAGACACTGTCCACAGCACCCGGTATATATATGGCCTTTGGCCACAATCAGCCTTGACCCAAGCCAGTCTGTAGCCGGATGTTCTCTCTCTCTCTCTCTCTCTCTCTCTCTCTCTCTCTCTCTCTCTCCCCTACTCTTTAAGGCCAGGCCAGTCCTCTTCACCTTGGTACAGATCACTTATTTGGGAACTTTCTCAGGTACCAGTTCATTCATTGACTCAACATACACATACCAGGAACCTGATACTGGCCAGGGACCAGACCAAGTGCCCATGGTTAGTCACGCTAACAATGGTGCTTAAGGATTCACTTCAGAGGAACAGTAGACAGCCTATAAGTGCATAATTATAGTGCTAGATGACAAGAATCATGGCACCCAAGACACATGGCACCACACAGGAAGACAAACAACTTCACCATGGAGTCAGGGACTCCTTTTGGTGGAGGCACTGAGGTCTCACTAGGCCATGAAGCTTCAGTATAGGGTAGAGGGGGGTGTCAAGGACATTGAAAGATCATAGTTTTCCAAGAGTCTCATGAGGTGGAAAGCTGTGAGTTCAGTGAAGCTGATGCAGAAAGTGCTATGTACAGGGCTGTCCAAACTTTGATACTGTGACACAATATCATCCACAAATATATTGGTTCACATTCATAGGTGTCCTGGGATACATAAGGTCCAAGAGCCATAGTTGGACATACTTGTAAGAGGAACAGGTTGGGGCATAAGGTTGCAAAAGACAAAAGGCAGGTTACAAAGAGAATTTGGAGATTATTCTTAGTTGAGCTGTCAAAGGTAGGCAAGGAGAAGCTGGCTTATATCTGCAGTTTGGAAGTAGTGCTCTACGACTTTGTTTGGGGGAATAAACTGGAAGAGGCAAAACAGGCATCAGGACTAGGGATGACTGGGTCTGTTTCTTTGTTTTGTTTTGTGACAAAGCTTAGTATGTGACCCAGTCTGGATTTGAACTCAAGATCCTCCTATTTCAGCCTCTCTAAGTGCTGGGATTATAGACATGCTCCACTCCCCCCTCCCCCCCCCTCCCCCCACAAAACAGACAGGAGGTGGCAGTCCAGAAGGAATTCTGGGAAGAAGGAAGAACATTATAAAGCCCCCGCAAGAAGGAACTTGGTACACAGCAGGAAAAAGGAAGAAGGCCAGAATGGAAGAAGGGAGGGAGCGCTGTGATAGGAGTGTGTAAGGGGAGATTGGAGAGGGAGACTACTTGGGCGAGAGACTTGGGGAGCCATGACACTGGGCTCTATGATTATTATTTCCTTTGCAATGTTCAAGTACATTAGCTCTAGTGATTTTTCTTTGTTTTTATGGTGCCAGCGATAAAACTCAGAGCCCTAGGCATGCCAGGCAAGGGCTATACCACTGAGCTATAGCCTCAACCCCAGATAAAATATACCTGTTATCTAAGGTATATTTTTTGATAACAGCCTAATTGAGATATATTTCACAACCCACACAATTTGCCCATTTGAAATATACAACTCAATGATTTTTAGTCTATTCACCCTGTGCAACCATTAATTACTACAGCGATTTTAAGGTATTTTTTCATCTTAAAAAGAAGACCAAGTCTCGTGTAATAGCACATACCTGAAATCCCAGGATTTGGGAGGCAGCGGTGAGGATTTCAAGGTCATCCTCAACTAAAGAGTAAGTCTGAGGCCAGCCTGGGCTACATGAGACCCTATTTTAAAAAAAAGAAAAAGAAAAAGATAAGACCTGCATCCTTTTGCTTTCAACTCATATTCCCATCATTCCCAGCCCTAACCAATCAATAATCTACTTGCTGTCTCTATAGACTATTCCAGACATTTCCTATAAATGGGGGCATTTAACATGTGGTCCTTTTGTGACTGGCTTTTTCACTTAGCACAGTGTTTTCAAGGATCATTTATATAGTAGCAAACACCAGTACTTAGTTCCTTTTTTTTTTTTTTGAGACAGGGTCTCCCCAGTAGCCCCAGCTGTCCTGGAACTCACTATGTACACCAGGCTGGCCTTAAACTCACAGAGATCTGCCTGCCTGCCTCTGCCTCCCAAGTGCTGGGATTAAAGGTGTGTGCCACCATGCCCAGCTACTTTATTCCTTTTTATAGCTGAGTAATATCCCACTGTGAATTAATACCACATTTGTGTCTATTCATCGGCTGATGGGCATTTAAGTGTCACTTTATCCTTTTCCTTTTTTTGTTGTTTTTGTTGTTTTTTGAGACAGGGTCTCCCTGTAGCCCCAACTGGACTGGAACTCAGTATGTAGACCAGGTTGGCCTTGAACTCAGAGAGATTCGCCTGCCTCTGCCTCCAGAGTGCTGGGATTAAAGGTGTGTGCCACCACACCTGGCCCATTCTACTCTTTCTTCTCCCCAGAAACCACCATTGGTGACTTCTGGTCATATGTCAGATTTCTTCATACAACATCCTATTACAATGTGGGTTCCATAGGGCATGGTTCCTGACCATGTTCTGGGTCATAGATATCTCTCTTGGAGCATGTCGGGGTGTTTCTAAAGGGACATTTCCTTATCCCTAAACATCCACTTTCAGGTGTGGATGGAACGGTAAGTGGCTGGGAGGAGGCCAAAATCAACAGCTCCAGCCCCCTACGCTATGACCGCCAGATTGGGGAGTTTACAGTCACCAGGGCTGGGCTCTACTACCTGTACTGTCAGGTAAGCCTTGCCTAGCTTCGTGGGCAAAGCAGTGACTAAGGGAAGGGTTTGGCTTGGGAGGAAGAAAGGGGGCAAGGTATAGGCTGGAGAGGGAGACTCTGGGGTTTTGGAGGGAAGAGATGCCTGGGTGTCTAAGGAAATTTGAAATTGAGGCAAGGCCTGGACTTCACTTGCCCTCTTCCCACCCCAGGTGCACTTTGATGAGGGGAAGGCTGTCTACCTGAAGCTGGACTTGCTTGTGGATGATGTGCTGGCCCTGCGCTGCCTGGAAGAATTCTCAGCCACTGCAGCAAGCTCCCCTGGGCCCCAGCTTCGACTCTGCCAGGTGTCTGGGTTGTTGCCCCTAAGGCCAGGATCTTCTCTGCGGATCCGTACCCTCCCCTGGGCCCATCTCAAGGTTGCACCCTTCCTTACCTACTTTGGACTTTTTCAAGTTCACTGAGGGGTCCTGGTCTCCCACATTTCCTAAGTTTACCTAAATAGTTCTCAGAGCATCCACAACCCCTCAGCCCTACCCTAGGCTGCTCCTTGCTCCAGTCTGCCTCCAAAGACAGCCAGGGCTTGTTCACACGCTTTCCATCCCACATAAATATGCCTGTTCTCCTCTTATACCTCCCCCAACTATCCATCTCACTAGCTCCCAAAGCCCCCACTTATCCCTTGACTCCTCAGGCCCCAAACCTCCACGACACTGTGTTTACTATGTGCTTCAGGCACTGAGAGGGGCTGGACCTGGTGGCAGGAAGCCAAAGAGCCTGAAACTAGACCAGGAGTTCCCAAATGTGAGGGGTAAGAGTCCGATACAAGCTCCTCCCTGGATGATTCCCTGTGGATTTTGAAAACAGATATTATTTTTATTATTATTGTAACAAAATGTTAAGTGGATATTAAAGAGAATAAACCATGGTTTCTTTCTTTTTGGGGGCCCCTGATAAACGAGGGCCATAGGAACGTGGGTTAGACATTGGGGAGCAGGGACCTGCATGCTTCCAAGCTGCAGGTGTGAGTAGAGAGCACAAAGGTGCCCTGCCCAGGAAAAACACCTGGTCCTCTGCTCAAGGTACTGCAGCCTCATTTCCCTAGCAGGCGGACTTCCTCCTACGGGGGAATCCCTGACTGGGAGGAGCAGGAGCCCTTCCTCTTGGCAGCCCCGGACCTTCAGCAGTTCAGCAGGTGCTGGCACATGCCCTGACTGGGAGATGGGGTAGGAGCTGGCCTGGAGAGGGGCTTGGAGCTGTAGGAAGAACCCCAGGGGATAGGTACATGGGAATCTGGACCCCTTGGTCCTGGGAGAAGTTTTGCAGTGGCTGGGGGGCTTGGGGCTATTTTTGTTTGTTTGTTTCTTTGTCCATAAAGCCTTATGTAAGAGCTCTTCTTGGGAAACAGGAAGTTCTGCTTGCCAAGTTCAGCACAGGGAGTAGTGCAGGCCTCGTTCCAACACACCCGGCCCAGCCTTAACCCCAGCACCCGGCCAGTTTCTTGTCCCTAGTTCTGTACCCTACCGACCCCTATACCCTTTTCATCACCTTAAATCACCCCTGGCAAACCTCTTCAGAGTTCTCTCCCATGCCTGAGTCAGTCTTCCACTCTCAACCCCAAACTTCAACAGTGCCCAGCTTGTACCCCATCACTGCTCCTGGCACCATGCCCCATAACCAGCCGACCTTCCCTCCCCCAACTCAGGGGCCGCCCCTGGACTGAATGCTGGCCGCTCCTTCTGGGTGTCACTGGCAGCCCTGTCCTTCTTAGACAATTGACACCAAATTCTCCTGAGGCTGGGGGTGTCAGAGTAACACTAGCTCCACAGTGGGGTACTAGGGGCATTGCTAGCTTGCTTTCTTCCTCCCTCTTTTTTATTCTCAAGTTCCTTTTTATTTCTCCCTTGCGTAACACCCTCTTCCCTTTCATACCACTGCCTGTACCCCCACCTTCTCTGCTACCTCCTAGCCACCCCGTTCCTGCGACCACAGCTGTTGGCAGGGTCCCTAGCTCATGCCAGCCTCATCTCCAGGCAACATGGGGGGCTCAGCCTCAATTGCTCTTTGGTTGAGTTGGGGGGCAGCTCTGGGGGCTGTGGCTTGTGCCATCGCGCTACTGATCCAACAAACAGAGCTGCAATGCCTAAGGAGGGAGGTGAGCCGGCTACAGAGGAGCGGAGGGCATTTCCGGAAAGGGGGAGAGTCTCTGTGGCAGAGCCTTGGGGAGCAGGTGAGTAAGGGGAGATGGGGTGTGTGGGGGTGAAGGAAGAGTGGCAGAAGGGTCTTGGGGCCTCTCAGTCTGAAAATTTTCAAGTGGATGAGAGAGGGTCCTGGGTTTGCAAGTCAAGAGAGTGGCCATTGTAGGAAAATCAACAACTAGATAAAGGCTTCTGGTGTCTAACATCCTGGAGGGCAGTCAGTGCCTAGGCTGGAGACCTGGGACAGGTACAGTCAGTACCCAGACCAGGAGCTGGGAAATGTGCAGAAATCTGAGATATTTCTGGTGTTGAGGAGGGCTGGAAAGGAAGGCTGTCTGAGATTCTGACATCTTAGTCAAACTCTGACCCTCTTTCATGAGCAGAGCCCTGATGCCCTGGAAGCCTGGGAGGATGGGGCGAGATCTCGGAGAAGGAGAGCACTCACCCAGAAGTGGAAGAGTGAGTCCTGGGGTATAGCAGGGTGGGAGGTGATTGGGGACCATGAGGACTACTGACCAAGCCTGGATGAGGGTGGACCAGGAGCAAGTAGACAATGCTATTTTCTCCTTCTTTCCTCAGAGAAGCACTCAGTTCTGCACCTTATTCCCATTAACATCACCTCCAAGGGTGAGCATTATTTTAAATAATGGCTTTGTGGGAGGAGGACAAATCAGGGACCTTGGGACTGATAAACTGGGCCCTAGAGAATCTCAGAAATGAAAAGGGGAGAGCTCATGTATCTAAGTGCAAAGATATGCTGACCTGCCACACTCCTCACCTCCAGTGGACTCTGATGTGACAGAGGTGATGTGGCAACCATCTCTTAGGCGTGGGAGAGGCCTGGAGGCCCAAGGATACATTGTCAGAGTCTGGGACGCTGGAATTTATCTGCTATATAGCCAGGTAACCCCAGCCTTCCATGCCCTGAGCCTTCCATGGGGCCTGGAGGCCAAATCTTCACTCTTCTCCCAGAGCATATGTACCCTGTAATAAGGGTTCCTGATCCTTCTGTTCAGACCAAACTTAGAAGACCCCTCTTTATTCCCTGACTTCTATGTCAGGACTCCTGAGGCTCCTGGAACTGAGCCATGCCATCCTGGTTTCTTCAGCCTCTCCTCCTTCCCTTGCCAGGTCCTGTTTCATGATGTGACTTTCACCATGGGTCAGGTGGTATCTCGGGAAGGCCAAGGAAGACAAGAGACTCTATTCCGATGTATCCAAAGTATGCCCTCTGATCCTGAGCGGGCCTACAATAGCTGCTACAGTGCAGGTGAGAGCCATATGGGCAGTAGAAGGTGGATGTGAGCAGAGCAAGATGTGACTGACTTGGTGTGGGAACTACAGTAGAGGGCTGGGAGCCTGGGTGCAGAGGCAAATCTGAGGAATGAAGGAAGGATCCCTAGGTCCTTACAGGAAAATGTACAAGCTGAGTGTAATGGCTTATGCCCATAATCACAGCACTTAGGAAGCTGAGGTGAAAAGATTGCCACAAGTTCAAGGTTAGCCTGGGTCACATAATGACAGGCCAGCCTAGTCTACATTCTCCAGGCTCTATCTCAAAAACAAGGACGGGTGAGATGGCTCAGTTGGTAAACACACTTGCTGTCAAGTCTCAAGACCTGAGTTTGATCCCTAGAACCCACATAGTGGGAGGAGAGAACTGACTCCTACAAGTTGTCCTCTGACCTCCACATGCAAGCCACACAAGCACCCCATAAATAACAAAACAACATGAGGGGGAACGGAACTGGAGCAGGCAGCATGAAGCATGAGAGACTGTAGGTAGCTGTCCTTCACTGAGCATCTATTTGTTTTTCCCTTTTCTCAGGTGTCTTTCATTTACAACATGGGGATATTCTCAGTGTCAAAATTCCCCGGGCCAAGGCAAAACTTAGCCTCTCTCCACATGGAACCTTCCTGGGGTTGGTGAAACTATGATTGTGCTATAAAAGATGGTTCTAAGCTAGGAAGACCAGTATGGGTACACACTGCAGACAGCAAGAACTGGCTAGCTAGACAAAGGACAAAGAACACAAGCCTCTACTTGGGTTTGACTTTATAACTCCTGTTCCTTCCCTTTCTGCCTTTCCCACTCCCTAGACTTCGACTTAATGAATATTAAAAAAAGTAGATGTTGCGTTTATTTCCCACCCAGACCCAAATTCTGTGTGTGTGTGTGTGTAGGGGGGTCCCTGCCAAGCATTGTCCGCTCAGGAATCTACTGGAATACATCCAGAACAGCACCACCATCTAGCGGCCGACTGAGGAAATTATACAGCCTTTGAGCAGAAGACCCCGAGGCCTCCCTCTGCTAGGGAAAACTAGTCTAATTTACCACACTTCTGTTTCAATCCACAAGATTGGGCCCGACTTTCTGTCACCATGTCGAAGAACGTATTTATGATGTGCCCATCCGCAGGAGTGTACAGGCACATTAAAGCATACCTAGCCAGGCGTGGTGGCGTAGTTCCAGCAATTGGGAGACAGAGGGAGGCGGATCTCTGTGATTCCAAGGCCAGCCTGGTCTACATAGTGAGTTCCAGGACAGCTGGGACTACAGGGAGACCCTGTCTCAAAAAAAAAAGCATGCCTGTCACGCTCTCCATTTCCCTGGAGGGCAAGCCACCTCTAAGCCCTCCAGATGGGCCTGGTACCCCAGGGGGTCTTGGGTCTTCCGGGTCCTGCCTCACTGCTCTGAGCTCTGCTTTATTTCTTTGGTTTTTTTTTTTTTTTTTTTTTTTTTTTTTGAGACAGGGTCTCCCAGCAGCCCCAGCTGGCCTGGAACTCACTGTGTAGACCAATCTGGCCTCCATCTCACAGAGATCCGCCTGTCTGCCTCCCGCGTACGGGGACACGTAGCTAAGCTCTTCTTTTCTATCAAGGCTTGCTTTAACTTAAAATAATGAGTGGCGAGGCGTGGTGACGCACGCCTTTAATCCCAGCACTGTGAGTCTCAAAAAGACAAAAAAAAAAAAAAAAAAAAAAAAAAAACAAAAAAAAAAAAAAGAGTGATGCCCCACTTTGCCCAACGCCTCTCCCCAGGATGGTCTCTGTACCAGGGTCCCCCTTGCCCTCCGGGCCGAGTTCTGGAATGGCTCACAGATCAAGCACTGAGGACCTCCACCCACATGCCTACAAGAGGCAGGGATCTCTGCAGGGCTACGACTCGCGCACGCGGCGTAAGGCCGGCCTCAACACGCAAGCGTAGAACGGCGAGCACGGTGGGGGGCCGGGGGGGAGGGGGAGACCGCCACGCGCTGCAAACCAGGCGGGTGTGCGCAGGCGCGGCGCGGCGCTTGGGGAGGGATGGTTGGGTGGCTCGGATGCTCCGGGGTAGGCGGGCCCCGGCGCATACTGGCCGCGCCGGCGCTGTTCGCCAGGTGTGACGTATTAATTGTGCGCCGCCATCGCCGGTGGGCCTGGGGCTCGCGGGAGGGGAAGGAAAAGGAGGGGGAGGTGGTGGTGGTGGTGGAGGTGGAGGTGGAGGCTGAAGCCAACCGAGAGGGGGCCGCAGCGGGCAGGCACGGCGCGCGGCCCAAAACCGTTGGCATCGTGAATTGAGACGGTGCCGCCTGAAGACAGCCGGAGTGGCGGGGCCGCGGTCGTCGGAGAGATGAGCCGGGAAGCCTGAGGACAGCCGCCTGGGGCCCGTGTGCCCGGCTTCCCCGCCCCGGGTACGGACGCCCCTTCCCCTCCCCCCGCCCTGCCGGGGCTTTTCCATGCCTGGTCCTCGCTCGCACCTAACTGGGCCCAAGAGCCCCTCCAAGGGACTTGCGAAGACCGTGTGCGCCGAGCCGTCGGAGCTCAGCACTATACCGGTGCCGAGATGCACTCAGGTCCTCGGGGCTGGGGCTGGAGCGGGGTTGGGGCTGGAGCGGGTCTGGGTCGCCTTGCTCCCACGGCTCGGTTCTGAACCTGCTCCTTGTTTCGGTCGGTAAGCACCCACTGGACTCCCTTCAAGTCTTCTTCAAAATCTTCCCCTTTCATTGCTCTCCCCTGAGCCATAGCCCTGAGACCCCCATTCCCACCTGCAATTAACACTGCGTGCCCACCCCCCTCATGATCCCAGGATGAAAGGGAACTTCCCACTCGGGAACAAAGTTTTCCTGTGAAAATGTGTTCCCAGGTACCATGTCAGGATTTCTATGCTGAGCCATCTCCCTGAGGAAAAATAACCCTTAGACTCTCAAAGGACATTCCTGGTGGTGTTGAAGTGGAACCTGGAAATCCTGGGTTTTGCCCAGGGAGCTCAGAAATAAGATCCCTAAGGTCTGCCATTTATTCATTTTCCCTCCTACCTGGGCAAGGGAGCGATAACAGACCCTAAGAGGCGCCTTGTGGACCGCGTTAGCTTGGAAGAGCAGAAATTATGAGTTTTGTAGGTTTTTCTCCTTTTTAAAGTTTGTTTCTGGATTTACAGAAAGCATTCTAAGGAACAGTTAGGACCATGGGAGAGGGATTTAGAATGTTTCCACTCTAATATTCAGGCCTTTGTTTTACAGGGTACTGGAAGATGAAAGAGACTATACAAGGGACCGGGTCTTGGGGGCCTGAGCCTCCGGGACCCGGCACCACTTACTCAAACCCCGGACGAGAGCGGCTTCGTTGGCCCCTACCTCCTAAACCCCGGCTCAAGTCAGGTGGAGGATTTGGGCCAGATCCTGGGTCAGGGACCACGGTGCCAGCCAGACGTCTCCCTGCCCCTCGGCCCTCTTTTGACGCCTCAGCTAGTGAGGAGGAGGAAGAAGAGGAGGAAGAGGATGATGAAGATGAGGATGAGGAAGTAGCAGCTTGGAGGCTACCCCCTAGATGGGGTCAATTGGGAGCCTCTCAGCGGCCTCGCCCTCTCCGCCCCCTCCGCCCCACTCATCGGAAAACCTGGTCCCAGCGCCGGCGCCGAGCCATAAGAGCCTTCCAGATGCTGCTCTACTCAAAAAGCACCTCCCTGACATTCCACTGGAAGCTTTGGGGGCGCCACCGGGGCCGTCGGCGGAGCCTCACTCATCCCAAGAACCATCTCTCACCCCAGGAAGGGGGTGCAACGCCACAGGTGCCATCCCCCTGCTGTCGTTTTGACTCCCCCCGGGGACCACCCCCACCCCGGCTGGGTCTGCTAGGTGCTCTCATGGCTGAGGATGGGGTGAGAGGGTCTCCACCAGTGCTTTCTGGGCCCCCCATGGAGGAAGATGGACTAAGGTGGACTCCAAAGTCTCCTCTGGACCCTGACTCTGGTAAGGTGGGAAATGGGGCGGGAGGCTAAGAGCTTGGACCACCTGGAGTTTGTTGCTGTAGTTGAGAATTGAGCCTAAGGAAAGCAGAGTGACAGGTACAGAATAGCTGTGAAATGACCTCATTAAACCTCACTTTGAAAGCCAAATGCCTGGCACACACCTATAATCTCACTTGGAAGGCTAAGACAAGAGGATACTGAATTCAAGGCCTAGCCAGAGCTACAGAGCAAGATCCTATGCTAAGGGAGTGAGGAGGCAGGAATGTCATTTTCAGCAGGAAATGTGCCTGGGAGACAGACAGGGGTGAGAAGTAAATCCTTAGTAGCTGCACTGTGGTCTCAATATAGATGGGAGAGGAAGGTTTTTCTCCTTCCTCCTCTCAGGATAAGACCTGGACATGTGTATTTCCAGAGGGCACTGTTCTTTTGGAATGGGACCTCTACTAGTGGACTTTAGCATCTGTAGATTTGTCTGTAACATTTTTATTTAGAGTATTTCCATTTTGGAGAACAGCAACCCAATATTTTAATATTCTTATTGAACCTACTTTATATACTGTGTACTATGTTAGGTGTTAAGTGGTAACAAATATTTCTGAAGTTCACATCTTTCTGAATCCTAGTCTTTTGCTTTCCTTATGTCTATGAATAGGAACTACTCTCTTTCCCTGTCTTAGCCCTTGGAGTCTCCATTCTATATGGTTCATATGGCTAGGTTTGCTTCAGTCTGTCCTTCTGTGGTCTTATCATTTGTGTGTATCAGTTAATTCTCCCTTTGTTCTTTAACACCTGTGCCAATTTCTCATTCCTGTCCTATTTTCCTACCGTATAGGCCTCCTCTCATGTACTCTGCCCAATGGTTTTGGGGGACTGTCTGGGCCAGATGGGGAGCGCAGCCTGGCACCCCCTGATGCCAGCATACTCATCAGCAATGTGTGCAGCATTGGGGACCATGTGGCTCAGGAACTTTTTCAGGGCTCTGACTTGGGCAATGCAGAAGAAGCAGAGCGGCCTGGGGAGAAAGCTGGTCAGCACAGTCCCCTTCGGGAGGAACACGTCACCTGTGTGCAGAGTAAGCTTTTAAAAGACCTAGTCTCCTTGGTCAGTTCTGAAACTGGAGTCTGAAGGCCTCACCCTACCCTCTCTTGTACCTTTACTTAGGTATCTTGGATGAATTCCTTCAGACTTATGGTAGCCTCATTCCCCTCAGCACTGATGAGGTTGTAGAGAAGTTGGAAGACATTTTTCAGCAAGAGTTCTCTACACCCTCCAGGTGAGGTTAGGTGCCCTTTGGAGGAGGACTGAGACCTCAGCAATAGGGAGAGAAAGATGTTGCTTTTTCTCTCAGGGATGTATTTGGGGAGATAGAAGCTGAAGGGGAGAAAGCTGCAGACAAAGTCCCTATAAAACAATTGGAAAGGCCTTTATTTGGGATCCTGTGCAACATGAAAAATGAATGCTTAAGTGTTCCTGTGTATCTTTCTGGGGAGTGGGTCTATAGTAGGTCCTCAAAAAGATCTGTGAAAAAGAAAGAAAAAGAAATAATCCTTTTCAGTTCTTATTCTAGATGATAGTAATTCAGTCTGCCTCAACCATATTAGCTCTTGTGTGATCCCAAACCTTTGACCTATTCAGGAAGGGCCTAGTACTACAGCTGATCCAGTCCTATCAACGGATGCCAGGCAATGCCATGGTGAGGGGCTTCCGGGTATCCTATAAACGGCATGTACTGACCATGGATGACTTGGGGACCTTGTATGGACAGAACTGGCTCAATGACCAGGTGAGAAGAGGTAGATAAAAGGGCCTGAGGGGACTTGGAGATTTTGATGTATAGGGGAACTGTGTTCTCCATGCCACACCCTCCATGGCAACTTACCTTCCATTTTCTCCCCAGGTGATGAATATGTATGGAGACCT